GGGCACGGGGGCGTCGGAGCGGTTCTCGGGACTCGATCCTCTTCCTTTGCCGAGGCCTGGGCGCTCGGGCGCAGCGTTGCCTCCTGGAGGGGGAGCAGACCCTCCCTGACCCTCCTTAGGGGGCCTTCCCTTCCCAAAGAAGGAAAGTGGAGGGAGGCTGACCCGGGTTTGCAAGGTGGATGACATTACTGTATCGTTTGCACCCTGTGTCTTGCATCACGGGTCTTGAGAAGAGGCATGCAGAGACATGAGTCCCGCATCCTATTCCCACCGTAGTCAACCAGATACGCTGGTAAATGCACACCCTCTGTTTTGTGTCGCCCAGAAGCAGATATGGAAAGGCAAATGTCTCTAAAGGTGATAGGCAGCCATTATGAGTTTTTCCCCCCCTCCTTAGCGTTTTTCCCGCAGGCGCAGGGTCTGCTTATTTTAGAATCGACCAAATGTTGATCCATTGTCACCCAAGGGACTAGGACTCACAGCCTGGTGCCCTAACCACTAGACCAAACTGGCTCTCTGTAGCCATTGATGAGTATTTCTTTATTATTTCAACTTATACAGCTGGCCATCTCAAATACATGATTCTGGGCAGCTTACAGCACTTAAGAATAATAGAAGAACAAAATACTATGTATATGGTTTTATTTATTTACCTATATTACTTCATCTTTTTTGAAATAATCTGTAGATTCAAACTCCATAGTTTTTCCATGAACTGGATCCAGAATCTCTTGTAAACTCCATTCTTGTCAGTGGAGGACTTTAGATTCTGTCATGGTGAGAAACAGAAAAAACACCCTCTTCCCTATCACACTTAAGTGAAATCATTAAGGGAGTTTATGTAACGCAGACCTAACATTTGATCAGATCCAAATCTGCTTAATTTTAGCAAGGTAGATACAGTTTGCACCTTCACAGTTTTAACAAAACTTGAGCACAAAGTATTTAATGTTGGAAGTATTCAGATATTAAATTTTTGTGCTATATTTTACTTAAGAATTTCACATGTAAGTTCTCTGTAGTTCTTGCTACAGTTGTGTGAGGGAAGGCCATATCTCTGTTACCATTACCAAATTAGAGGGTTGAGGGGGGGGCAGGAGAGAGCCAGAGGTACTCAAAAGCAGCAATGTTTCTGATATTTAAGAGCAATGAAGTTTATCCATGAATTTCCAAGTCATAATTTGCATTTTTCTCCCACAGAGAAGATATAACAGTGAGCTTAAGTTGAAAAGCAGCAATAATGCAAAGTAAAATTATTTCTTTTAAAACAGTTTGCTAAGGGGGAAGCTTACTAGAGCAGCTGCTGAAAGATAGGTATCCTTAAGATGTGTGTGTTGCTAGGTGGGCCTAGCTGGGGTTGAAACAGTTTTTCTCAAATTCCTCTTCTGGTTTCTTGATCATGACCCATATTCCCTGAAATATGAAATGGAGGCGCTCTCTTTGTAGGCCTAGTCCCACCTCACAACATTCTTCCTTCTTAGGTCTCCCCTGATGAGCGCATCTCCTCTCTCAAGCGTCTGGTCTCAGAGAAGCTGAATGTCCCAGTCTCCCAGCAGCGCCTACTCTTCAAAGGCAAAGCTCTGGCAGGTGGGTGCTGAGTAGTTAATCATGAGGCAGTTGGTGATGCAGAGATGGCAAGCAGGCTCATCCAAGGTGGCAGGTAGAAAAGCATTTATTTCAAAGGCCATAGAAGACATCTCAAGAAGCAGCTTCATTAAGAGGAATGAGACCAATAGTTTCTCTGACCCCAACTTGAGAGAGATGAACTCAGAGAAACTAGCTCTCACTTTCTGCCAGTCTAAAACATTTAGCAATACAACCTGTTCTGATAGTGTTTCTAGCCTTTTCCTATAAATTGGGTGTGGCCAAAGAATTCAAAGTGATGGGCGTGATAGTGCAATGGAAAGCCCGCCTGTTTTTTATTTGTGTTGCATGTATGATGCCCATAAAAAAACAGGCAAAGTTTGGATGGCACCATCACATCCGCCATCTTGACTTATTTTAATTTATTAACACCTCTGGGTTCTACAAATAGATACAAAGTAGTATCTTTGCAGGAATAGGGCTCTATCTGGCTTGTATTGTAGTTTGTAGTAATCCATGCAAACTTTTGATGTTTGTGTCATTTTCTGTATTGACAAAAAGATTAAACACCATTTGTGTTGAAGTGTAAAAGGATTGGTGGGTTTTTTAACCCTATTTTCTGAACAAAAAATTGTAATTGTAATTGGAGTATCCAGCTAAAATTTTGCTACAACCAAATGGGCCTTGATATTTGCCTTTCTTTCTCTTAAAAGCATCCCAGCAAGTAGCTCTGATTACACAGGTTTTTATATGGTTCTTTTTAAAATCAAGTTGTCTTTATTAGTTTTGACCTGTACAGCAGTGAGTTTCATGGGCTGGCAGCACATTTCAGAGAAAAGTAGAGGCTCCTCTGATTTGCCAGTTGCAAATGATACTCTGCAGTGTCATTGTGGGACTGGATGTTTGTGACAGTATGGAAAAAACTGTGCTTTCATGAAATATTTACTTCATAATGTCCATTAAGAACTAAGGAGCCTCACCTTTGGAGGTTTATATGCTTTTGAAATGGAATAACAGCAAATGATGTGTCTGCTCTTTTTACAAACTGGGCAAGCAGCTGGCTAAATGCTTTGTTCTCTGGCAAAAACTAGCAAGAGTTTCCTGATCCCATAATGGAAAAAAAAAGTATTATGTGGATTTGGAGAACCAGAGTTCACTTTTTCAGATTCAAGGTGTTATCTGCAATTATAGAACGTGGATTTGATGATATAGACTCTGGTCCTCAAAATCTACAGTTATTAAAAATGCGTTCATTCTTAAGGTCTTGGTGGTTTTTCACTACCATGTACTAAAACAGCCAAGCTTCTGGAAATAAAGATTTGTTTATTCAGTGGGGAATGGCAGCTTTCAAATCTGCTTGATCTGACTATTGCTTTGTGCCATTGGCCACTCACCAGCCTCATCCTTCTTTCCTAGATGAACACCGTTTGTCTGATTACTCTATTGGACCTGAGTCAAAGCTCAACCTTGTGATCAAGCCTTTGGAGAAAGCATCACCTGAGGATCCTAGCTGCAGAGCTGGTCTCCCACAGAGTCCGGCCATCTGGCACATGCTGGCCCAAGTCCTGAGCAGGCATTACAGTGTGGCTGATGCTGAGAAAGTGCTGGAGCAGGTGCAGAAGGTAAATTTCCCTTTATATATGAGTGGAAATGTAGGGGAGGACAGGAGATTGGTCTGATCGGCTCTGATAGCACTGTATAACACAGTGTAGTGTCCTTGCATAGACATAAACCCCTGTTTGTAGGTACACCAGCATAACCTCAGTGTAGCAGTAGTAGATGTAGCAGTAGTAGATATTACGTGGGTCAGTGTTGTCCAAACTTGGCCATTTTAAGATGAGTGGACTTCAACTCCCAGAATTCCCC